GGACGCGGACGCAAAAATCCCGCACGGGACGCGGACGCAAAAATCCCGCACCGGACGCGGACGCAGAAGCAGAAATCCCGCACCGGACGCGGACGCAGAAATTCCGCACGAAACACAGTGCAGCACGCTGAATCTGGCCACAAAAGAAATAGTAACTAAGAAACAACAGACCAGGAAACTGAAAACAGAGGAAAACGCCTTATTATTCAAAAAAGGTTTTTTTCAATTTTTAAAAATAATTTCTGCTCGTAGGATGGGCCTCAAACGCACCGCCCAGAGATCGAGACTCACGTGCTCCTCCACGTGAGCCCGCCAGGCACCCCAGAACGCCTGTTAGCCAAGGGTTTCCACAGAACAGCCACGACTCACAACACAGACAAGGGCGGCCCACGACGCCCGAGTGTCCGAGCTGGGACCCAGGCACGGGCAGCACCAGCCCCGTCCGTGCCCAGCCACGGAGCAGGGGCAGGAGAGACAGAGCACGGTCCGAAGGCCCAAGAGGAGGACGCCAAGCTGTCGTAAGGCACAGAGCTGGAACACGGCGCAGACCACCGGGGACTCCCAGGATGGTGCGACGGGTAACTCCCGCCACGGCGCCAGAGGCAAGCACGGTCTGTGGGAGGCAATTCTATCCGAGCGCGCCGGCCACCGTTACAAAAAGAAATCTTTGGGGAGCCTGGGTGACTCCGTGGGTTAAGCCTCTGCCTTCGGCTCCGGTCATGGTCCCAGGGTCCTGGGATTGAGCCCCCCATCGGGCTCTCTGCTAGGTGGGGAGCCGCTTCCCCTGCTCTCTCCACCTGCCTCTCTGCCTGCTTGTGATCTCTCTCTGTCAGATAAACAAAATCTTTAAAAAAAAAGAAAAGAAAAGAAAAGAAATGTCTAGCAGCTCCGTGACGTAAAGTACAAGGAAACCCGTCAAATCCGACCAGCCCCGGGGCATCTGCAGTGAGCCAACCACACAGCACATCCGGGAGACGTTGAAGACCCGGGCTGAGCCCCAGCGCCAGATCCCGTAGGAGCCGCAAATCCCAGTGCCCGCCGGAATCCCAGCCCCGCAGCGACACGCGGCACGGCGTCGGTGCAAACACAAAAGCTCACTCAGAAGCCCCACGGGGGGCAACGGTTTTGAAGGCCGACTGCAGAGTGATGTCCGCAAAGTCTCGGCGCGCGTGGCCGCGGAGGGACAGACGGACTCCGGCAGGGAACCGTGAGGAGGGAGCCTGAGCCCGTTGAGGGAGTCGCGACAAAGGCAGGCCTGCCGTTCCAGGGGACCACGCGCGCTCTCGGCGAGGGCACCGCGTGGTGGGGAACCTTCTCCCACCGGCCACGACGATCAACGCACGACGCATCCTGGCCATGAACGGGCCCGGGCCCGGGACAGACGCTCTTCTGCAGGAGGACGGGACAGACACCGCTCCTGACTTCGCGGAAGCAGACGTCCCCCCACGGAGGACACAGGACCTTCGGTCGTGAAGGGAGAGCGAGGCCGCCCTCGCTGCAGAGCCTCCCGCAGGAAGCTGCTGGGCGGACGGGAAAGCAAGCTTAGAGGCTGAGCCGAGCCCAGAGCAACGAGCACCCGCGGGCGCGGTGTTAAAGTCCGGCAGGTCGAGGAGGAACACGCAAGCGGCCCCGGAGAGCTACAGACGGGCACAGAGTGCACAGACGCCCACTGGCTGTGAAACGCGGTCAGCATCTGCGCTCACGACGGACGTGCAAACACGTGTGCACGGAAGCACCGGAACCATCCACGGAAACAAATCCACGTCCACGTGTGGGCCAGGACGCGAGAGACGGAGCTTCCGGGCACCCGGGGGACAGACCACCAGGCAGGGTCGACGCAGGAGGAGGAAGTGGTGTGGCTGCCCTGGAGATCCGCCGGGCAGGGCGGACGGAGAGCGACCACGCAGTCCCTCAGGCCACACGCCGTCCTCCAGGAGGAACCCGAGACCCGACACGCGCTCCCACAGGACGCGGCCGAGAAGGTGCGCAGCGGCCTTCCTCAGGATGTCCCCGATGCCAGCGCCCGGGCGCCCACGAGCACGGCGCTGAACAAACACGGGCAGATCCACGCCCTCTGAGGGGGGCGGTTTGGGGCCACATCGGGAATAAGCTGCGGCCATCACAACCACACGTGTCTTGGGCACAACCGACAGAGCAGCGCCCCACGCCGGTGTGAAGACTTTCAGGGTCGCTGCGCTGCGCGCAAGGACACCCGTGCCCGAGTCTTGACAGGCGAACCAGGACACCAGCCAGAGCAAGGGCTGCTGACCTGGAGCAGTGGCCGGGAGTGGGCCGAAGACAAGCCCCGGGGAGCCAGGAACACGGGGCGCCACGCTCCGGGCGGTGGTCATGCGCGTGGTCACAGCAGGCAGGACTGGCGGTGACGGCACCGTGGCCCCTCGTGGCTCCACGCTCTGGTCCCCGAGGGCGTCCACGCACACGAGGCTCTCGGCGCCGTCCCGTAAAGGGGCCCTCGAGGTCGAGCCCCAGGATGAGCCGGCGGGCCCGGGTCCCAACCATCCGACCGCTGGAAGGCTTTGGTGGTGCCCTACGCTGCCATTCAGGACGTGCGTGAGTCTCCTGAAGTGGACGGGAAACGTGACCGCTTCCACGCCAGACGCACAACAGACGAGTTGTAAAGAAGGACAAACCGCCAGGGCCGGGGAAGTGCAGCACGGTGAGTCGACCTTTCTCTCGGTTCCGCAGCACGCACAGGTCTCCTCCTTGCAGACTGCACGCTGACGCCTAAACCGTGCGTCTGTCCCCAGCGCGAGGAGGGGCGTGTCAGCGCCGATGCCCGCGTACCTCACCCTGCACACCCAGCAGGCCCGTCTCCACGCCCATGGCTCCCGCTCCCGGAACGCGGTGTAACGGGCATCGGGCGGCCCGTGGCCTCTGGGGCCGGGGTCCTCGTACACAGCATCTGCTACACCGTCGTGTGCGACGTAACAAACACCAACACTGGTCTCCGCTCCGCCTCCCGGCACAGCGAGTGTGAGACCGTCCTACTTCCGTACGGGACGGGGGTGCTCGCATCCCCTGTTCGGACACCGGGTCTTTCCCTGCGGTTCCGGACCCAGAGCTCCCGACTCCCGCGGGCTGACGGGTCCTTCTGCCGTCCTAACGAGGTGGCCCTGGGCAGCAGGAAGGCCGAGATGCCGAGACGCTGGGGACGTCCAGCCCCGTGCCACCCTCTGTGGAGGAGGTGCCTGGACACCAGGATTGTGATGCGTTGGGGCGACACGGGAAGGCCTACGTGGAAGAAAAGACGAGGGGTGCAGACTTTCCCGGTGCGGGATGCGACTGAGCACGGGAGGTGGGGGGCACCCGATTCCACTGGGACAGCAAGTCCGATGCCCGGGACCCTCCCAGCGCTCACCCCATGTGCGTCTTCCCCCGACCGTGCCCCTCTATCCTCCCCAAGGAGGGGTGTGCGAACCCCTGGGGTCTGCGGCAGTTGCTCAGTGCCGCGGTGACAACCTGGGATTGGGGACAGGCGTCAGAAATGGAGCAGCCCGGGGGCTGAGTCCCCGCCTTCCGGGGTCTCTGCCATCCCCACGAGGCAGTACGCGAACTGAACGGAGGTCAGGTGACCGTCAGGGGTGTCGGGGACCGGTCTGCATGTGGGAGCGCCCCCGACGGATGCAGGCCCCACGTCAGGGGCACACCGACAGGACAGAAAGCCTGCAGTTGACACACTCGGACCCCACGCCGCAAACCGGGGAGCCAACGGGGAGCTCAGCACTGCTCGCTCCAACCCCGACGAGGGCAGAAACACAACAGGGCAACACCGTCACACCAGCTGCGCGCGGGCTCGGGCAGCACGCGGACGGGACCCTCACCCGAGGCCGTCCTGGCCCTAAGTCCGTCTAAGCACGCTTTCCGGGACAGACGTGGCGGACTTCCCGGCCGACAGAATCAGTAAG